GGGTAAACACATATTGTAAAACCAATCAATGAATATTGTCCATACTGAAACACTGATGTGACGAGTTTTGATTTTATCTAGGTCCCTTGTTTTAAGCTACGTAGAGTATTAATGCCACTAGGGTTATGTCTAGAGATTTCCTGAGTAAGTACTGTAAATTAATCTCACTTGACACTCACTCTAACATTCAATGACACTCTAACCAGCTCTCACTTACTTTAATACTATAACTATACTAATAAAACAAAGGTGTATCAGCCCACACATAAATATGTAATTATAAAAAAGAATAATCTACATACACAAAACATATACTATACACATATAAAGGATAACGAGATATACTGCCCAATATTTTTACGTATTATGTTCCGAATGGCCATCTTGTCCACTAGGTAGGTCCAACACACATACACACACACACAGCTGCCTTGTTGGTTTGGCCTCCCTCTTCGCTTTGGTCACTGGTCACGGCGCACTGCGGGCGTCTTGGTGGCGTAACTGGTCTCCGGTCACTCGCACTGCGGGCGTCTTGATGGCGTAACTGGTCTCCGGTCACTCGCACTGCGGGCGTCTTGATGGCGTAACTGGTCTCCGGTCACTCGCACTGCGATGTGATAGGTGTAGACTAGCACTTTAACGGTGGCCCCATACACACACACACCCTCTCGCTGGTCAATGGTCACTCCGCCGTCTCTGTTTTTCTATTAGGCCTAATGACTCAACTGTACCGAGTGGTCTACATTCTACGGTATATTATACCACCTGTACTAAGTTCTACTGTACTGAACTGTAGTCAGTTCAACTGTACTGACTCTAAATTAACAAGACTAAAGTCAACTGTACTAATTGTACTAAGTAAAACTAATTGTTACTAACTCAACTATTACTAACTCAACTATTACTTACTCAACTATTACTTACTCAACTATTACTTACTGGCTAGAAATGAGAATAACGAATATAACGCATAAGACATGGGTAGACAATTAAAATCCCATTACATTATCTATAATAAATTATACTCTCCAAGTAACTATAGCCCTAACATTTTCTTAATAAAACTACAACTACAATTCTACATACCGGTACACATGAATATGAAAATTAACAATACTAACCCAGGAAAATCTGGTTAAACAAACTTCATCAACGATTAAAGTCAGCCCGGCTCTATTGACAGACTTCAGGTGAAAGACGGGGGACACATGATTAGGGCCTTTAATATATACACTAAGTTTGGCGTCCTGTCCTTTCTTCAAGCGTCGCGTCTGACGCTCTGACCAGACGCTGGTCATAATCAAGTTGACCAGGTTAATTTCCATTGTTCATTTAGTAATTGTTATTAGTGTAAGGCCCAGCCTAAATGTTTAATGTCACGTGGGGTCGCCATGGAGAGAGGGTGAGCCAGTGGGTCTCACTGAGGTGAGCACCAGTGGGTCTCAACAACTGGAATATTTCCAAGTGTTTCTATACAAGACACAGGTATATTTGCTAGTGTTTCAATACAACACCCACGTATTTTTGCTAGGGTGTCAATACAACACTCAGGTATATTTGATAGTTGTTTCTATACAACTCTCAGCTACTCCCACCATGTCAGTCATTTGCTGATAACTGTTATGGAAAAAACGACCCCCCCCGCCCCCTTTCCCGACCTATCTATTTTAATCAAACCTGTTCTAATTATCTCTTTCAGCTAGTTGCTAGGGTGTCAATACAACACTCAGGTATATTTGATAGTTGTTTCTATACAACTCTCAGCTACTCCCACCATGTCAGTCATTTGCTGATAACTGTTAAGGAAAAAACGACCCCCCCCGCCCCCTTTCCCGACCTATCTATTTTAATCAAACCTGTTCTAATTATCTCTTTCAGCTAGAAATAACTTCCTTATGAACCCCCCCCCCTCCTCTGGTCCCACCCTCCCTCAGCCACACATCTTGAACATCTGTTTATAACTTCCTTCCGGAATAAATTTACCAGGATGGACCGAACTCTCTGTAGCTAACTGGTTGGCACGTCCCAACCCAGATGTACACAACCTTATGTAGCTAACTGGTTGGCACGTCCCAACCCAGATGTACACAACCTTATGTAGCTAACTGGTTGGCACGTCCCAACCCAGATGTACACAACCTTATGTAGCCAACTGGTTGGCACGTCCCAACCCAGATGTACAAAACACTCTGTAGCCAACTGGTTGGCACGTCCCAACCCAGATGTACAAAACCCTCTGTAGCCAACTGGTTGGCACGGCCCTAACCAGATGTACAAAACCCCCTGTAGCCAACTGGTTGGCACGTCCTAACCCAGATGTACATAACCTTCTGTAGCCAACTGGTTGGCACGGCCCAAACAAGATGTACAAAAACCCCTGTAGCCAACTGGTTGGCACGTCCTAACCCAGATGTACAAAACCTTCTGTAGCCAACTGGTTGGCACGTCACAACCCAGATGTACATAACCTTCTGTAGCCAACTGGTTGGCACGTCCCAACCCAGATGTACACAACCCTCTGTAGCCTACAGGTTGGCACGTCCGAATCCAGATGTACAAAACCCTCTGTAGCCAACTGGTTGGAACGGCCCAACCCAGATGTACAAAACCCCCTGTAGCCAACTGGTTGGCACGTCCTAACCCAGATGTACAAAACCTTCTGTAGCCAACTGGTTGGCACCAATAACAGAACCAATAGCAGCACAAATAGCAGCACCAATAGCAGCACAAATAGCAGCACCAATAGCAGAACCAATAGCAGCACCAATAGCAGCACCAATAGCAGCACCAATAACAGCACCAATAGCAACACCAATAACAGAACCAATAGCAGCACCAATAGCAGCACAAATAGCAGCACAAATAGCAGCACCAATAGCAGCACCAATAGCAGCACCAATAGCAGCACCAATAGCAGCACCAATAGCAGCACAAATAACAGCACCAATTGCAGCACCAATAACAGCACTAATAGCAGTACCAATAGCAGCACCAATAGCAGCACAAATAACAGCACCAATTGCAGCACCAATAACAGCACCAATAGCAGCACAAATAGCAGCACCAATAACAGCACCAATAACAGCACCAATAGCAGCACCAATAACAGCACCAATAGCAGCACCAATAGCAGCACCAATAGCAGCACCAATAACACAACCAATAGCACCACCAATAACA